TCCAGACACTAACCAGACACGAACCAGACGCGAACCCGGACACGAACCCGGACACAAACCCAGACGCCGGATACGAACCGCACCCGAACCCGTCGCGAACCCGGACACTAACCCAAACACGAAGCCAGACACGAACCAGACGAGCCGGACGCGAACCTGACACGAACCGCGAACCCGGACACGAACCGGGACACAAACCGAAGAGGAACCCAACAAGAATAGCGATTGAACTGCTTCGCAACTTGCCGGCGTTGTCTCCATATTCCTATGCAGAGCTCATATATAGCTATTTCTAGATGCATCGGCTTTGTAATTCAATCGCTGATCAAAGAAGAATTAGGATCAGCGGCTATCACGAAAAGAGTCCGTTACAACGCCTGCTCTGCAGAATGTTATTACAGCGAGAATGTCCTCCTAAAGCTACCAAAATTTCGAAGATTTCGTCACGGCGAGATTTCCTAAAGCTACCAAATTCTTCGAAATTGTTGTACCGGGAGAGAAGTGCTCGCGACACTAAAATTTCCAGGATTTTAGTCACGCGAAGCAACCATGCAAGAGGCTGTGATGAAGAAGTGCGGAAAAGAAGCAAATTATAGGGGGGCAGGGCTGCGCACAGAATCACGGATGCCAGCAGCACGACACCGTTTCATGACTTTATTACAGAAAAAGTCTATGAAGTATACAAATCCAAACTCGTAATTCATGTTCCCGCCATCCTGAAATAGACCTGTCCGTTACTCATATTTGTATGATCCGACAAGACTGAGCAACCGGGTAGACGGTGGCCGGAAGACGAAGAGCGATAAAGGCTCTTGTACCACAAAAGATCTTCGAAGGTATCGATTTGCTGGAGAGGTGCTCCAAGCATATTGATCATATTGCTGCCGTAACAGCTTATTGGGCAGCTTTTTCAACGGCGCTTCTCGCGTGAGGCGTTCCGCTTCCGTCGAGACCGTGACCTGGCAGAGCTCTCGCAGAGCAGATGCGGTGACTGCGCAAGGGCACCTCCGTCTTCGACTGCGGCTTCTGCGGCTTCTACTTCTGCTCCTCCGCTTCGGGGACCTCAGAGCTCGGCATGCTAAGGTTCAGATGTAAACTTTGCAGCTCTGAGGCTTCAACTTGCGGCTCGCCTTCTTCTCTGCCTGCGAGACAGGACGTCACACTTAGGCACTTAGGCACTCTGCACCAGAGTAGCGCAGGCCTTCCTCTCCCAAGAAGCATCCCTTTTGCGCTTGTCTTCCTTATCCTTTTTCGGCTCTTTCTCGCGCCTCTCACTCTCTTTCCAATCCTTCCACTCCTTCCACTGCTTCTTCTCCTGCTTCCAGTCGGACCTTGCTGTCGAGTTCTACGTTTCCAGCCTCTACTGCTAGCCGGGGACGTGGTAACCAGGGTCAGCGTCGTCAGCTTCTGCCATTGCTTCGGAGGCGCTTGGAGGCCGAGGGCGCCTTTTCGTCGTCAACAACAGACCTGAGAAACGAAGCATTCAGCTCAAGCCGGGAAGTGCCAGCGGGAGACAGAGATGGCTGCGCTTGCATCGCTGAAGGCTCTGGAGCTTGAGGATCGTCCGCCTGTTACGAATGCAACCAGTTCTGGCACGAGGATGAATCTTCAATCAGATCCAAATCACGGGCATGCCCACAGGCCTTCGCCTTCGGAATGGGCTCCGGCGATGGCTCGCGGACGGGCTCGGGCGGCCAAAGTTCGGCCTGTCTCGAGCGGATGCCAGCCTGGCCCGCGACCAATGCAGTCTGCAACACTGCAAGATGGCCAAGATACGTGCATGTGCGCACGCACGCACACAGAAACACACACGGAGGTTCAGCCAACTTTGAATGAGATCGACATAAACATTAAATAACTGAATCAGCCGATAAGTGACTCATTATTCATGTATGTAGTTGCAAGTATACAACAATACACACAGACATGCTCACAACCTCCAGCAAGACCTACCGCGAGAAATGTAAGAGCAGTTATACTTCTAATAGTAGCAAACATGCTACCTGTACAATAATACTGAAGGATAACACAGATCACAGTCTTAAAAGTACTAGTGATCATGCGGGCACAGCGGTTCTTACAGATCTCGTGTTGTGTTAAGCCCGCTAGCTCGCAACGGCAAGTCGTACCGTGGCATCCGGTTCCTGACCTTACTTGAGTCCGACCGGTTAAACAAATATGTCTGGCCGCAGCTACGTCTTCGAAGTACCGGCCCAAACTGGCCCGGTCTTCCGGATCTGAAGGAATCGCACCTGCCCGATTTCAGTTCCTCATCTTTTTACGGAACGTAGCGGACCAGTGTTAGCGGATAAACGGTAATGTTAATGTTTAGGCTGTCCGAATGAGAAAGGCAATCATGATTAGCAACATGATACGCAACAGGAAGACGAGTAGCACAGTACTAATTACTAACCATGCGAGCAATACTGCAAGAATAGGACTACGGCACGGGTCAAACTGCTAATTAATCGTGATACCCGTAATACAATCAACCCTCTAGCAACAAGAAACGGTAAGACCGGCACGAACAACAGTTGAAACGAGCTAAAAACAGCAGTACCATGTGTCATAGTATACAGGATGGCAACAATGGCATTCAACGTGATAATCGCAATAGTCACGCTGGTCACAACCTGAATATTAGCAGTGTTATTGATGGCGGTGCTGAGAACAACAGTATTCACAACGGTAGGAATAGTGATGATAGTACTAGTAGCAAGACTGCAATGGTGGCTAAGCTACTAACAGCAAAAACAGCACGTAACGGACCTTACAGGAACAGCAAGCCTCGACCTTCAATACCTCGGGAAGACCTATGTGTGTGCACGCGTAGAACAAAAACATGGAGAAAGACCACAAGCCTTCTCAACAATTGCTTGTCTGCGCACGATTCATCAGACGTGGTCAGCGTTTCTGGATCAAAGCACTTTTTCCATGCCCCGGAAAGGATCTATAGGTTTTTAGGCTTTCAAGGCTTTCACGTCTCGGAAGCGTTTCAAATTTTCCAGTAGCTTTGCAGTGAAACTCAGACAGTGGCAACTTTTTGGATACAACATCTGGATATACGTGTCTGTTTTCCATGCAGATGCATACCTGTGCATGCATGCGAAATCAGGCTGGCTGCCCCTCCTGCAGAGCAACTTCTGACCAGGGCTGGGCGAATCTATGAGAACTCTTCTAGGACTCAACCGGGCAAGGAGGGCCACTTCAGATTTTTGCGGACGCCCACCATTTCCGAGCGTCTTGTCTCCTGTGTCACTGATGCTAGTAACGATAGTCACACCGGGATGAGTACTGTGTGCGCGGCGCAGTCTCTGCGTCCAGAAGGCATGGAACTTTGCATCGCCGGCACGAGCAAAAGGATACTGCCAGGAGCAAGGCGTATGAGCCCTGTGCGAAACACTGTGACTCTGACACTGACTGGTGGCTTGGAGACCGGGCCATGGCCAGAAGACGAAGAAGGTCTCGCGGTCTCCAACTCACCATCCGGCCCGTGAGCGCCTCGAGGTCCGGGAGTCCACAGGTTCAGGCCCCTCCTCCCTTCTTTGGGGGCGCCTCCAAGTGCTTGGCTTCTTTCACCTCTCGTATTCTCAGAGCTTCTGGCTGAGACTTTGATGAAACCCTGAATTGGGCAGGCAACCTGTGCTGGAGACAGCTCTGTAGAAGTAGCCGCAGTCGCATAGCCCTCCGTGCTGAGCCCGTAGCCTGTGGGCAGATGTCGTCTTCTAAAGTCTGGTGGGGCTTGGAAGGCCGATTAGCTTAAAGCCGTGTGAATTTGTTCGACACCTGTTTCAGATTGTTTCAGCAGAACCAAGGCCAGCACGTAGCTTCGGCTTGGTGTTCCCGTCGCTGACTTGGCAATGTCCTGTACGTAGAACTCGGCGCAGCTCGATGCGGGACTGATGGACAAGTGCCCGATCCAAAGTCTTGAGGTCTCGTGTTAACTCTACAGAAAGACTGTACGGTTCCCAATTTCTGAGGCATCGCATCCTGCAGCCAGCAACTGCATGGCATAAGACCAATGCCTGTCCACACCTGCAGGACGCTGCAGCCCGACCGAAACGCATGAATTGGTGCTGCCCCCAGCCACCATGCCAATGGGTTAAGAGTCTCGGATTTCTGAGAAATTGCACGGACGATTCTTTGGACCAGCATTTCTGTTTCAGACGACTTAGACTCACGGCTTCAATGCGCCTGGAGCACGACTCCCATACATTGCTCGAAGGAAGGACTGACTGCAAAGACCATTGGGGGGTCATTTTGATGAACAACGGGGGCAGTTGCTATTTCTGCTCATGTTGCTGTCGTGAAGAAGAACGATGACTGTTGGCAGGCCCTGTAGGCCCCATGCCGATGAGCGGGGGGTGGCTGACCGCAACGATGTCCTTTGCCAAGTGCCTTTGGCGCTGGAGACGGAAGCCACCAGTATCTTAGCAATCCACGTGTGCCCCCCTCCAGTTGCCTGCTGCCCTGTGGGACTCTCAACTCATCCCCGACTTGCACACCGCACAGACAGTTGCAACAGTGGGCCTGAAGCAGCTGGACCACTTGGCCGAGTCGTGCCGCAGCGACTCAATGGCAAAGCGCCTCCGCCCGCTGACTGATTGAATGACTGCAGATCCCTTCTGATGCAAGCATGCCAGCAAAGGTTCAACGTCGGAACGTTTCCTTACAACACCTTGTAATTGAACTCCACAGACCCGAAGTTCCCACGTGAACTTCAAGGCCCATGGACGGTGCAGGGCCATCGGGGCTTAGGGTTCTGCACGCCGTTAGTCAGAGTTCAGGGCTCGACGGATTGGGCCGGAACTCTGAAATGCAGTGGCATTTTCCCAGGCAAATCTCTGGGTTGGGAAACGCTGGGACCAAGAATCATGTTCAGGATTGTATGACGGGTTTACTAGGAAGACGAACCGCAACACAAAGAGACGTCGACCCCGGAGGCAGCATTTGCTGTGTGAATAGTCTGAGGGTCACCCACCTGTCGTCGATGTGGCGCTGGATGTCCATAACTGCAATGTCCAACAGCGTCTCCGGGGGCCGGTCCTGCGAAGTATGGCTGGTCTCAGAGCATTTGCACTTAACTCGCGACGGTCCTCTGCTAGATGCAGAAGTGGGCCCTCCGTCATGCAACAGTTCCAGCGCCGGACACTCCGAACCACCGCCACCTCAAGCGGTCGGAACAGCAACCCAAACCTCGATGTTTGTTCTCGGCCTCGCCGTCAGCAAGCGGCAAGCTTCCAAGAACTAACTTGGAACATAGCAACTCCGGCATCTCCCACAGAGGCACCTGAACACAAGCACGCGTGATCCCGCCTTGGCCTCGCACATCTGCTGCCGACTTCAACCCATCGAGCCTCCTCAGGAGGCGTCTTCACGTCCGCGACCGCCCCAAAGCTGCCAGCACCTGCTCTGCTGCCGCCATTCCGACCGTTCCCATTCAGAAACACCACAGGACAGGGCGTCAGGCTGCTCAGTAGAATGATGGCTCCTTGGCTGCCTGACATGCGGCCCATCGCACCGCTGCACAAGAAACCGCTGCACAATGCATCTGCAGGCCGGTATGTTGGGTCTGCTGCCATCGAGGGACGTGGCAAAGTCACTGGTGAAGGTCACAGCGGCAAGGCCGTCGCCTGGCACGGCAGAACTTCAGGCTCACTCTCGCTCACCCTCACCCACAGTTTTGGTCACTTCCTCGCTCAATGAATCGCTCGGCGCAGTTTCAATCAAAGGAGCACGGCACTGGTGATACCAACCTTGACTGAGTCGCTCGTCCACGAGGCAACGGTTGACTGAGCAATCAGTCCAGAAGAACAACCTGTTGTAGATGATGGTCCTTGATGTGTTGGTGCTGTATTTGTGTTGGCGGTTACACTGAGTCCTGATGGCTCCGTACAATGGTTTGAGACAAAGAAAACTCCTTCATCAGTCGGACTATGTAGAATAGGAGCTGGCATCCTCCCCACTTCTTTTCCTAAGTAATCGTCTTCCGGAGCGGATCATATCCATCTTGCTTCGCTTTATGAGTCTTCCAGCAGTCGGACAGATTTGGACGGTTAATACCCTGTGTGCCCGGATATTTCATCGCGCTGTGGTTAGTCTCTCACCTATGGTTGTATATTCTTTCAAGCCATTGCAATCCTGCTTGTCTTTGCTTTTCTTACTATCCAGCCCCGGTTCCCCCCTATTCCGGTTGCCCCATTTGGGGCAGCCCAATGACAAGCATACGCTGGTCATGTGCTGGCTGACTTTTTTTCCGGACTTTCCTGGTCGTGGAAGGTTTGAATTGGAACCCGCCACTTTGTTAGCCACAAACCCGATTTAGAAATAGGAACAGGGACTTTACAGGTCACGGCCCTGCACACAGAGCCTGACTTTATCGGTCGCAGCCCATCTTCCTCTCGCCTGCTCTCTTGGGGCCTACCCGGCGCCCCTCCCGCACTTTCGTGATCATCGGGCACCATGCAAATCAAATTCCTTTAGCAATCACAGGGCACCATGACCACTCAATTGCTGGCGCCTGCTCTCTTGGGGCTACCCGACCCCCGCACGGACTTTAGTGGTCACGCGGCACCGGCCATTAAATTCCTCCCGCCTGCTCTCTTGCTTGGAGCCTACACCGCCCTGCATGAACTTTGTCATGGAGCACCATGACCATTAAATCCCTCCCGCCTGCTCTCTGGGGGCCGTGCACTCGAGAAGAACAGCAATGCACAATGTAGCAGAACCCTCAACAGATTTTCGTCGTCACAAGGCACGCAGAGAAGGTCAATGATGCACGATATCAGACCCTTACAACAGATTGCGGTCGTCACAGGGGATTTGTGAACAGGACCATTTAGAGTTTAGCAGACCTACAAGGGGTAACCGACCATGAGGGTAACCGAAACATGAAAATTGCTGCTGCCCGCTCAGACTTTCTAAAGCGTTTCCAGACGCACAGCCTAGCGCTTCCCGTGGTACTTGGGCTATTTCTGCTTTACTTCCCACAGTGCCTGTGAGAAGGATCCCAGAAACACAGCCTATCCCTTCGACAGCTATCGGCATTTCCTCAGCTGATAACCGACTTTGCTCTGTGTGATTCGACTCTATGCTGGCCGTAAGAGTAGCGACAATTCCAGTATCGCTATTTTTCCAAGGAGTGTCGTCGACGAGGATCGGGAATTTGTGTTGCACATTGCTTGTGCACAGAGGAATGGAAGTTGCGATGCAATTCTCTTCAGTGCCGAATCTCGCAAAAAATGTAAGACTCCCGATGTAATCCGAAGCGCGCGGGAGGCACAGCAATGCCCCTTTTTCCCTGGGCTCAAGGCGCCTTCCAGTTTGAGAGGTCATTGCCATACGAAAGTCGGGCTTGCCACAGCACTCAAGAATGCACACAACAGCCGAAACATCACACAGACTCAGGCTGATTATCGTTGGTATCACATCCATCAGGGGGTGCATCTGAGGCTGTGTTGATAAGCTCTTGGAGAGGCCCTGGCTGCAATGCGAAGGTTCCGCTCAGCATGACCTTTCGCATTAAGGTGGAATTTCCGACCCTCTTGGTCAGACAGTCAGCTAACATGTAGATGCCAGGGACCCAGTACACTGAAGCTCGAAGAAGTTCTGCTGAGGCAGCCATGACCGACACATCGATCTGAGCCCTCCGGCACAAGCCGGCTGCACCGCTTCGTCGATGAAACAGATCATACAGTGCTCGGGCATCGGTGATCATGATGCTCTCCTCCTCGTCTCGCTGACGAGCAATCACCACGGAGTCCAGATCTGGTCCAAATCGGCTGCCATCACAGACTGTTGAGTCGGGTACACAGGATTCTGCATACATTGCACGAAGCCATTCCAATTCCCCAAGGCTATCATCCATTGCAAGAGCTTCCGATCCTAATGAAGCTTTCACCACACGTCGCAGACGATGCGACTTCCAACTGTTTATGCTGAACCTTGCAAGGATGCCGTCCCGAATCGTCTTCTCCACAAAGGTAATCACAAAGCCGCCCTGAGATTTCTCCGAATCGTTAGCCACCGAAGCGTCACTCACCGCGGCCCACATCCCAGACTCCAAAGGAATCGGGAGTATGCGGATATAGCAATCACTCGTACGCTTGAGCTCGGCAATCGTTTTGTTCACTTGTTTCACATGTGAAATCTTGGGAGGCCCACTGCCCCAAGACATAGCCATCGAGCAAGCTCCGGCGACATCCGGACGAGCCTCCTTACCAATCCAAAGAAGACTGCCGCCAGCTCCCCGCAGCATCGTTGTCTCCTGCTCGGTCAGCTCGGCATCATCGCCTAGACGGACTCGTTCACGAGGAAGTCGAACCGGATGTAGTTTCTCCTCAATGTATCGCTTCATGTCAATCCTGATTTCACCGTCCTCGAGCTGTCTCACAGTCCGCCCAAGGTACTCAGCGAAACCCTTGAACACGATGCGCCACTTCCCAAATCTGAAGCGCTCCTTCAGCTGAAGCATTAAGGACTCATGGCGAGGTCCGCCACCCTGAGCAAAGTCGTCGACATCCAGCAGGACCAAACCAGCACAACCAACCTTGGCCCCGGCAGACCTTTCTTCAGCGTTGTAGTGAAGGATGAACAGACAAGGATCATAGATCGATTCCTTATATCCAAGAGACAGCAGTACCTTTCTCACCGTCCGACGCCAGCACGCAGGTGCATTGACGAGGCCATAGATGGCCGTGAGAATCTCCACCAGCATCCACTGCTCCTTGCCAGGTATGCCAGTCGGTGGCATGCTCGCATACAGAGGTCCTTGACGACGAACCTCAGCATCACTTTGGCCGAAGGCACTGGTCACATCCATAATCACCAGCTTGAAGCCGAGAGAGGAGATCAGCTGAAAAGCCAAATGCACCGTAGGTCCCGAGGGGGTAGGGCTGAAACGTTCCATTTCCAGGGCATCTGGGTCACGGTGCCCCAATAATATCCATCTCGCCTTCGCCTTCCAATCTTCACCCAGTTCCTGAGCCTTCTTCGTCAACACAAATCGCGAAGGCATGATTCGGTGACCCAATTCCTTTCTGATGCGCTTCACCTCCGCGGGATCCTTGATGAAGCGGATAGAGCTTCCATTTTCAAGCACCGTAATCTCCTTCACCTTAGCTTCATCGAACATTCGGCGCTCAAGTTCATTGAAGTGCTTTTCGTTCAGCTCCTTTCCGCTCTTCTTGGTAAGAAACACATGAGACCCGTAGATCTGGCTGTGGTCGTAGACCATGTCCATTTCAGACACTCGGGTAAACAGCTTCACGTCCCGGTGATTGGCAATCGGAGGAAACTTGGAGCGGTCTCCATGTTCCGTCACCATATCGGCTGTCCAGGCCCCAAACACCTTGGATCTTTGAGGAGCTGAGCCACCTTCACCATCAGGATCATCAAGGCCTCGCTTGATCCTCTTGTCGATCAGACGCTCGTCCTCGTTTCCCGGCTCATTGTCCAACTCTGGACGATCAGGATCAGTCAGCGGCACTCCGGGATCAGGGTGACCAGCCACACGCTTGTACACCAACACCGTCTTGAGCGAGGTCAGTCTCCGAGGCAATGGCTTATGAAGATCTCGAGAACGCTCGTCACCCTTGATGTCCTCTCGACGGATCACTCGGCCTGAAACATTGTCGACCGTGATTCGCTGCACTACATCGCTCCACATGGGCCCTTGGCTATTTGAGGTCCGGTACCGGTTCGGATTGTGATCATACCGAACCCACTTGCGAAGCTGCGTCCCACTTCCGGCAGGTGGCCATTCAGCTTGACCAGAAGGAGCACGAGGCGTAGTAGAAGTCGATGAGCTACTCGAAGAAGTGCTTGACGTAGGACTTTCATCCATCTGCCCCTGTGACCCACCAGAACTGGAGCTAGACGACTTGGACCCACCAGAACTGGAGCTAGACGAACTATCAATAGTGATCACGGGATCCGAAACTGGGATTTCTGCGGTTGTTCCTGGTCCATGATCTGCACGAACTGCATCATCTTGACATCCTCCATCAGGGGGTACTAACGGATCCGAAACTGGGATTTCTGTGGTTGTTCCTGGCCCATCATCTGCATGAACTGATTCAGGTTCTGACTTTACCTCATCCAGCAGGTCCAGCTCGGAGCTCACACCCTTGTACATCAACTTCTCGGAGTCATACTTCAGCCTGGCCTTAGCCTGCAGAAGCTCCGATGGAATCGCCTCCAAGCCAGCGCGGTCAGCGTTGCCCATCTTGAAAACCTGAGCCACATTACATTTCCACAGCTCCCCACGACGTGTCACCCAAACCGTGTGACCATTCTGAAGAACTACCCAGCATGGGCCCACTTTGGCAGTACTGCCACGGCGCCCCAACTTCCAGATCAGCACTGGTTCGCCCTCTTCAAATTTCAGACGGTTGATCTCCTGCCTAGGCCTTGCCAGCTTGGCACGGGCTACTCGAGACTTGGCATCGATCTCGATGAGAGCTTTCCTGGCCGCCGTCCGAAGCTCATGTGCACGTTGCCAGGCACTGTCCGCAGTAGGACTCAAGTTGAACTCGCCGCCATCCGCCAGCGTGTCCAGAGCCACTTGTGGCTGTCGTCCAAACACTCTCTGGGCCGGGCTGTACCCCGAACGGTTGGTCAGAGTTTGAATTGCCCAGCTCACTTCATAAATCAGCATCTCGGTCTCGGCAAAATCAGAAGGTTGCCGAAGCTCTCGCGACCGATAGTAGGCCTCCTTGAACATAGCCCCACGGCGTTCCACGGTGCCCAGTTCGAACGGGGCCTGTCTGTTGATCTCGATCGGCCGGATGCCATGCTGTTCTAGCCCCTCCTGAAAAGCCCTTCCCACAAACTCGTTCCCTTCATCATAGAGGATACACGTGGGAGCTCCGAAAACCCGAAGCCAAAGAGTCATAAAGGCTTTCCAGGTTAACTCAGCCGACCTGCGCCTGGGATCGATCACGCCGAAGACACTGTAGAGGGTCCCGACACACGTCACATTTAGCACTGGGTGTTCAGCCCGGTCGCTTGCACCATGCACGAACAAGATGTCCACGCCGATGACCACGTTGAAATCGAAGCACCGAGGGGTAGCTGCAGGGAGTCGAGTAGGAGGTCGTTTTTCCACAACACAACCAGGGCATTCAAACTCACGAAGCACATACTGTACCACATCGTGTCGACTGCCTGCCGCTTTCAGGAGACGAGCAAACTCTCGTTTGTTTGGATGACCAAGATTCACGTGACACCGGAGGACCTCTGATTTTTCACGATCGGTGAGGTCATAGGAACTGGCAAGGACCTGGGACTCAGCAGGTTCGGGCCAGTAGTACAGCACGATCACCGTACGGTGTTTCCGCGCCTCCGGGTGCCACTTGCCAACAGCACCTTCCTCAATCCAGCGCCATTGACGATCAGCAACCTCGACTACCGTCCAGCGAACGCACCGGTGGCCTGGCCCAGTTTGCGGCAAGAAAGCCGCCGCAGGCTTGAGCGAGATATACATCGCCTGACCATAGTAGTCACGCCACATGTGAACCACATCACTCCGAAACCTCCTCATTGTTTGGACCACAATGTCGCACTCAACATCCACTGGCAAGAAACGCCGCTGACTCCATTCCAGAGCCATCTTGGTCTTTCCCAGACCCAACTCGGTTGGCCTTGGAGGGAGAACCGGTCGCCGTAGCCATGCACCAACAGGTTGACCAGGATGCTCACCCTTTCGAGACCTCGCCCCAAACACCTCAGTCGGCCTCACATCCTCATCAGAAGATTCATCAAGGCCGCCTTCCCAGAGGTCGAAGTATCCCTGATCGGGGATCACTCGCTCGATTCCATCAAGCAACTGCTTCTTCATCGCCTTGTCCAGGGTCACCTCCACCGTTTCAGTGGTCGTGTCCGTCAGGTAGTTGACAAAGTCATCGGTAAACTCCTGGATCACAAAGGCGTTCACACACAGGCCGAGGTCATAGTCGTAGAGGCCACCATGATCGATGTCCACCACATGACAGAGACCTGGGCTTGGTTTCGTAACGATCACTCGTTTCCCCATGCATGGTCGACTGCGCACAGGAGCTACACCCTTGACAAACTGACCGGTGAAGCAGTGCACCACAGACCTCTTGTCATCCACCATATTCAGCAGCTCAGGAGAGGCACTCAGTTGGGCTCGAACATCAGGTTCACATAGCCACCCGATCATCACCCCATGGGTCCCGAGGTCTGAAACTCCTCGTTCGCGAAGTTCACATTGTAGCCGCCCCGCTGCTTGAACTCTGTCATCACCTGGGTCCATTCGACATGTAGAGTCAGATCGTTGCAGGTCGGACAGCGATATGCCCGACGTCCCTGGTGCATGTCCTCCACCAGTGCCGTCTTCTGGCACGCCATACACAGCTTCACATTTGTGGCAAATGGCATGTTGTTGCTGTCCTGCCACCGGTAAAAGCACTTGGGATCGCCGCCCAGACAGCCCCAAACAAATTTGTTGGGCTTCACCCTCATGAGATGCACCATCCCGTGACACAGAGTGCACATCTGACAAGGTCCCGGCATCTCCATCTCCACCCCCTCGCGCAGCCACAGATTCATCTCGTCCTTCTCGCGGTCCGACGCCTCCAGCTCGTTCGAGTCGGGCGTCCCGATCTCCCGGCGCAAGGTGTGGTAGGGCACATCCAGTTCCACCTCCATCTCCTCGATCGAAGGCGAAGCTTGGCGAGGAGGATGTCCGGGCAGCCTCTCGAGCTGCACATGTGGCATCGCAGAGCTCGTCGCGGTACTGGGCACTGGTGTCATGGGTACTCCAGTCCGCTTGGCCTCCTTTGCCGCAGACTTCTCCTGCGCCTTCTCGGTCGGAGTCTTGTAACTCGGAGGCTGGAACGCCATGATGGTGTTCCACTCGTTGAGCTTGCCAATGTCCATCTTTGGCACTTGTTCTACAGCCTGGCAGCGACTGCATTTGGTCCACGCCCATTCGCTGTTGCAGCCATGCCTTGTTTCCGGATGCGAGCACGTAGGGCTCGCACGCAACACCGGACTCAGGAACTTGCTCCTGCCACGGTGTTCGACTAACGGGCGTTTCTGATCCCCATGATCGTCTTGTACACAAAGCCGTCGAGGTGGACGAAAGTTCACCTGGTCGCCCGCTTCGGCCAACAGCGCCTGCTCTCGCTGCTGAAGGGCCAATGCTTTCCTTTGCAGCGCTTCCCGTTGCTGCGCCAAACGACGAACTCGACGCAGCTGGGGCTGGACCATAATCGCCTCGAAGTTGGAGCGGGCTTGTGTGCACAGCACATAAAACAAGCGCAGCACACACCGTCGCCACCGAAGGAGGCATCTCGAAAGTTTGCCACGTTCCATCAACGAGGGACACAAAGAGCTCAGGGGATGGCTTCAGGAACGGTCCTTTCACCTTCCAGATCTCACTCTTGAGAAAGTCATACGACGCCGGCACATACCATCCTTGTCCAAACTCACACAAGTTCACAGCCACATGTCCAGACTGTCTCCTGCTCATGCTCTGCACAACTGACAACTGAGTGTACGCAATCAGCAAGCTTGACATGTCGATCACAGCTCCCAACACGTGAAGGAAGTATGCGGGAATCAAACATGGAACCCCACCAGGAACCACTTGCACTCGTAAAATTCCACCACGACCCCCAATGCCAATCGGAATGTAGGCCACTTGGGTAATCTCTTCCGAGCCACAAACTCCCCGAACGGTACCGCCCTGTTCGTCTGAGTACTGCACCCGAAGCTGAAAATGTTGTTGAAGATATTGGTCGTGCCTAGCCAACGTTTCACGGCCAATCAAACCATGTTGTGCAGCTGTGTCCACTAGAGCGGTACCCAGATTCTCGGAGTCGCAGCTAGCATAGGTGTAAGACAGGAAAGAGACCATGTATTCCTCCGCGGGCGAAAGCGGCTCACGTTCAATGGCACTTGCCATGCTCAGCTCCTTGGACAGGATCACATCGTCCCGAGAAGCAGATACAGCATCAGGGGTGACAACCTGATCTATGGAAAATCCTGTAAAGGCACCGGTGGTCGCATTACACGAGGCACTGAGGAACTCCTGGCCAGCATCATCCAGCTGATGGCTTGGGGTCCCAGTGAAGAACAGGTTGGTAGAGGGACCTCCAGGTCTGCTTGAATTTGCCGCAGGTCCCCCAGCTGGTCGAGGGTTCTGAGGCGAGGGCATACGTCGCTTCTGCGGGCAATCCTTCGACCAATGACCCATCTGCCTGCAGTTGTGGCATCTGCTCCGGTTCTGGAGCTCCTGGATCGAGGTGCGGGGCCGCGACTGACCAGCACCAGAGCCCTTTCCACCGCCAAATCCACGGCTCGTTCTCGCATCTTGAAGGGCCTTCCGATGATCAGCATACGTCCCATAAATCCCGAAGCCCTTTCCGGAAGCCGGACGGTCCTTTCCAAAGGATTTGCCCTTCCCCTTGAACTTGCCTTTGCCTTTGCTCTTGCCCTTTGACCAGCGTTCCGTCACCGTGCCGTAGACAAAGGAGAGAAGCTCGCCAGCATATGACACCGCCTCGTCTTCCTCCAGAACCGCCGGCAGCGGCTCGTCCAGGCACAAGAACACTTCTCCATTTCCCTCGTCGATCTCAAGGAGATCTTCGAAGGCATCGGGCTCATCGTAGTAGTAGATCTCGTCGCCAAAGTAGCCAGAGGGCTCGGAGTCGTCGGCCATCGCATCGTCCTCCTCCTGCCAGAAGGTGCGGCCGCGAGGTCCTGCAGCGGACACTTCATCCACTGTTTCACCGAACAGCTTCCTGATGGCCTTCTCCACCTTCGGGAAGTCGATGGAGCCATCCGTCAAGACCTTGATCCGCTGTCTTTGATCCTCACTGAAGTTCCCTTGGCGCAAAAGGAGGTGCCCTAACAAATGACTCCCAGCAGAGCTTCCAAGGAGATCCAGGCCCTGTCTCTTCAACTCGCCAAACGCCGCCTTCTTCGTGGCGACAAAGCCACTCAATGACTGATCGGCTCGGCGTCGTCCCTTGAAGATGGCCTGGTCAAAAGCCTGCTCAAGCTTAGCATCTCGAAGATAATCATGGGCCTCCTCGATAATGGCCACGATCTTCTCATAGCCCATCTCGGCCGTGATGTCCTCCACGCTCAAGTGAGCCAGCAAGGCAGCAAGCCTGGAACCAAAGGGGATGCCGTCTATGATTCTTTTGCCGATGAGGCTTCCAGGAAGCCTTTCTATGGCTTCCACCAACCATAGGCGAAGGTTCCGGGAGTATTCCCGGTACTTCGTCTCCGGCATCTCACCGTCCCAGCTTGGAGCTGACTCCATCCGGTAGTCAACAAACTTCTTCGGAGCTGACGCGGAGGAGGCATCAGCCTCACCCGGTCGCGGGGAAAGCGACCTGACACCCTGTCTCGGCAGCACTGGAGAAGCCACACCTTGTTGTCGTGCAGCGGCTCGCTCGCCACCTTCAACAGATTCATCTGCCGGTGGCGTCGGCATACTCAAAACTCGGCTGACCAGCAGCCTCGAAAACGGCCAATCCTGACAGCCAGCTCACACAGCTAGCCCTCCTCGGCACAGAAGATCCCCAGTCTCAATCGCTGGGTTCGCAAAACTCTCGCCTGCCACCAAAAGCAGCCAGCAAGGGTGGATCACCAGTTCGCCGTCCTTGGTTCACACAGATCAGATACTCCCGGATCGGGTAGAGGCTGGCGAAGATCAACAACGCCGTCACAAAGAAGAAGCCTCAGAGGCCCTCGGCAGCTTCTCGTGCTCGAACCCTGGCCGTCACCAGGGCTCCGCTGCCATGTAATCCGAAGCGCGCGGGAGGCACAGCAATGCCCCTTTTTCCCTGGGCTCAAGGCGCCTTCCAGTTTGAGAGGTCATTGCCATACGAAAGTCGGGCTTGCCACAGCACTCAAGAATGCACACAACAGCCGAAACATCACACAGACTCAGGCTGATTATCGTTGGTATCACACCCGAGCTCCTTTCAAACGTCGATCTTCTGTTGTGCTCCGGTTGCCCGAACGGCTGGCCTTGTATACCAGCTGACAGCCCTTTGGCAGGAACATCTCGGCCGTTCGACAACAGAGCTTCTTGCTTCGAAATGGCCCGTTGCAGCGCAACCACAATGTCAAGTGATGCGAATTGGCTTGGCATGTTTTTGCAAGTACAACAATTCTGGCAAGCAGCTGTTGGATCCGCTCCACACGAAGTTTGATGGCAACAACAGTCACAGACACGTCCAATCACACAACATATGGGTCTCAGACTGGAAGCTCCCCTCGCTTGATACCGGGAGGGAGGCGAAAGCCGTCGAAACCACTGCGGTGTAGACATGTGTGTGCATGCAGGTGCACATACATACATACGTACATGTTACAGATGCATGATCGTCTGTGCATCATGTGCTATGTGAGCATGTCACTCTGGTCATGTTCTAGAGATCAAGCTTTCAATGCCACGCATTGGCGACATGCAACGTGCAATCGAATGCTTCAATCTGAAAGTCCGGCGTCGCACGGCACGCCGCCCCCGCAACATGCAACCGTGGAAATATGCCCAGTCTCAAACTATCTAGAATCTAGAAAGAGTGACCCGCTTCGATACACAGGCCTGCATCGGCAAACCTCTGTCACTCCCACGGTTCAGTCCCCCCCCCCCCGCCCACTGCCAGTACGACAAAACGCTGGCAAATGCTCTTCATGCTTCGACGCCTATCCCTGCCGGCATGCGGCACGACATGAAAAAGGATGACTTACTCTTGCTGTCTTGTGTTCGTCTGGCATGATGTCCAGCTTTGGTAGGCTGCTCGTTCCGATGGCCTTCTTCTCCGGACTCTTCGTCAGCCCATCCGTCTGCTTGCTCCTCGACGGACGGCACCCGAGAAAACGGAGCTCGCAAGAAGTTGCTTGTCCTGCACCTCGCTCAGCATCTGCGGGCTCCCCACCTGACCTCTCAGGTGCAGCATGGACATTTCGGCAGATGAGCCGTGTATAATGTTGCCTTCATTTTCTTTGGCATCCACTGGCGGCGGACCTAAGTGCACCGTGCTACATGTGCTGCATGGAGCCAGTAGTCTGGACAGCTGGGATCAGTGCTGGTAGGATCTGGAAGATATCTTCGAACCGATTCTTCGGAGGATATGGCTCTTTCAAAGACGACTTCACGGTCACATGCGGCCGTGACCTGCACTCTGCCATCGACCCAAACGCAATGCACTTCCAACTCAATGAGAGCATGGCTGGAGAGCTACTTAGAGACACTTGCAGAAGAGACAGAACCGCAGCCACGATGGTCCGAAGGAAATCTTGCGCCTTCGAGCCACAGTAGAAATAGGCAAGAAGGCACAGGATTTTCTGCGGCGCCGCCTAGAGCAGGACAAAGCATTGCACCAATGTCGCACACAGCCGGACGGACCCCGTGGGATGCAAGTTAGCAGGCTGTGCCTTTGCCGAGGACAGGTACAGCTTCTGCAAATCAACGAAGCCTCGCACATTTAGCCTGGCACCAGCCCGGAATTGCACATAGTTGTCCGGTCACAGATGAGCGCGCCCAGCACTTTGCCAGCTGGACAAGGCCGCATTGGCAAGCAAGCAGTACACGCTGGAGGCCGAAAGCTTCACGACCTGGCTGTGTCGGCTTCTGCAACGCGGGGGGAACAACATACGATCGACCTTCCCTGCCAATAGCCGACCTTGCACAAGACTACAGGCCAGACCTTTGAGGAGTTTTGTTTGATGATGATACCTCCCCAGCATCCACCACTTTACATACTTTCGTCCTTGTGCCGCCAAGGCGAAATGCACACTGAGAAACTGACATGTGCAACAGTGCAGCAAACCCTGTCGGCAGCAAGGCTAGATCCACGGGTTTCGACATGCTTGCAAAGATACCTTCGGAAGGCCACTGTAAGCAGTGTCGACTTAGCAGCAGACCCCAGAAGTTAAGGCTCCAACTGGACCACAGTGCAGAGATGCTTCATCAAAACGGAGGCAAACTCAAACTGAAAGCAGCAGAAGAAACAGAGACAGAGAGATGGAGAGAGATGGGGAAATCTGGAGAGAGGTGGACAGATTGGAGAGATGGACAGAGACAGAGAGAGAGAGAGAGTGAGACAGACAGGCGGAGGGAGGGAGAGAGAGACAGAGACAAGACAGGCAATTGGATGGATGGATGGATGGATGGATGGATAGATAAATAGACCGACGGACCGACAGTCAGACAGACAGACGGACAGACAAACTTGACAGAAGAACAGACTGACAGACTGAATTTCTGCTACAAGAAGCAGGCATTAGGAGACAGACAGGCTGACTCACTGACAGACTGATAGAAAGAACTACAGGCAGACAGAGAGAAAGAGAGTGACGGTGTGAAAAGAGAGAGATGAAGAGAAAGATCGAGCGAGCGACGCAGAGAGCGAGAAACAAAGGAAAGGAGCGAGACAGAGAAAGGGCGAGAGAAAGAGACGAGAACGCTGAAACTTCATGGCATTTCATAATAACACAGAAGCCACAAGTCACGAAAAATTGCCTGGAGCAGGGGGCCAAGAAATGGGGGCCAAAAAAGAGAAGCTGAGGACCTTTTGTAAGCGGCGTGGTTGCTAAGAGCAGTTCCAGGTCTAAAGCTTTTGCAGACCAGATGGCAAGAGCTGCAGTGCTGATGACACGGTTTAGCGATGGCTTAGCAGCAGGGAAAATAGACACTAGAGAGAAGGTTAGGACCACTCATGGCCAGCCACTTTCTAGGGTGCTGTGCTCGTGATGAATAAAAATCATAGCGTTCTTCGAGAAGGCAGCTCACAGCTGGACCGTCCCTTCTCACTATTGGACCTTGTCCACCGGAAGATCGACGGCCTCAGACGTCTCTCCTGCATGTCGCCACCAGTCCGCGCATGGTAGTGTGCAACATGCCGATTCCAATTGCCTGCTTTGGGAGACACTTTGTCATCTGCGACCTGAGCAGCCAGTTCTGCAGCTGGAAAAATCTTCCAGTCCAACAAATTTGTCTGGCCTCTGAAACTGGTTCACGTCGGATGCGACAAGGCCTTGCAACCTTCCAAGAAAGTACGGGAGCTCATCATCACCGGAAGCAAAACAACTGACAGACTCAATAGTCGGTGTACGATGTGCCTCAACCGAAAGCTTTTCTTTGTGCAGTGACACAACACACGAATCATGCCGTCTGAAGCCAGCAGTTCCCGGCACTGTCATGGGCAAATAAGTTAGTTGTCCTGAGCCGAGACTTTTGCTCATGTCTTAGGTTCCCGTGCATGCCTTGGGCTGTGGTGGTGCAGGAAGTTGTGCAGCAGGAGAGCTTTCCTCCTGGCACGTCGCTCAGCCGCACAGCAGTGTCATGCAGCGCATGTGGCCCCAAAGTTGCCGACGCTGCTGCCAGCTCACCCGCCGCTTTCAGCCAGGCCGGCACCTGGATGCACTGAGCACAAATTCCTGAAATTAGCTTGACATCAGCTAGGGCTCCGGCAACTGATGCAAACGGATCCTCGCCTCAGCAAGTTGCAGAATGAAGGGATGGACTCGACCGGAGATAGACGGCCCCCACCACCCAACCGCACCCCTCTCGCTCTCCACACGAGGAACTCAACACTTCCAGCATGATCGCGATGACCACTGCACCCTAGCACACTCGCTACACCCTCGAAGCTGAGCTCGCGGGCCGAACCGTTCAGCGAAAAGAGCTAACGCCTCCACGGCCGATGAGTGAGCCGAACCGAGAGCCAAGAAACCTTCCGACAGGGTGCCTCCTTTAGGCGCTTGTATTTGGCGAAGCGAGGCACCTGCAGAAGATGCTGTCGGCAGGGCTGGCAGACGGGCCCTGCCTGTGTCAGCATAGCAATGTTCGTGTGGGAATACAGGTGTTCACATTCATCTACATATGCCACGACATGCACTGCACACATCCTTCTCTAAATTCTCTTAAACAGAACCACCCTGCATACAAACACAGATGCTTCACCTCCTTCATGCACGTGTAATTATGTGTACATAGTAACATCGTCAGTGTCCTCATGCAAAGCCATAACAAAATGACATCCAGCTACACACGATAAATTGTTGGCTCTGGAGACTCACTCTGGCTCTGGCCACCACAGGCACAAACCTGCAAGAGTACGCAATGCCGACGGCTCGCAAAGGTGCCCTCGCCTCCTTCGGAGTCTCCTTTGGACCCTCCGATGCCTCATTTTCCGACCTGGGAATAGCAGAGAACCTGGTCCTGGATACACGATACTTCTCAGCAACAGCACCTGATCGCCTGTCTACGTTGTTTGGCACTTGTCCGCTGCTTCAACGGATAAATCTCCACAGACATAGCAATTAATGTATAGATATGAATATGGGTTGGACGTACAAATAGATATGGATATGTTCTCCGGTGCCATAAAGATGGCTGCCGTCCAGTCACATCGATCGCATGCTGAGGCTCCGGCTGGTCGCCTTCTGCTGCTTCTTGTCTGTTGTCCGCTTTACCCTTCTTATCCTTTCCTTCCTTTGGTTCCGTTCCTTCCTTTCCTTCCTTTCCTTCCTTTCCTTCCTTTCCTTCCTTTCCTTCCTTTCCTTCCTTTCCTTCCTTTCCTTCCTTTCCTTCCTTTCCTGCCTTTCCCCTTCCTTCATTTCGTTCCTTTCCTTCCTTTCGTTCCCTTCCTTCCTTTCGCTCCTTTCCTTCATTGTGTTCCGTTCCTTCCTTTCCTTCTGTTCCTGCCTTTGCTTCCTTTCCTTCCCTTCCTTCCGTTGGCATGTGACCTCAGACCAGAGGTTCTGCGAAAATTTTATTGGCGGATGGAGGCATGCTGCATGGTGCAGACTTGGGTCCAAGCTTTCTGATTCCTGCCCAAAAGGCCCACTGATCTGATAAGAATGACCGTTGTCCAAAAGCCCGCGTCCTTCGGAGGATCGTCTTTAACCGTCTGCAGAGAGCCGCCGGGCAACGGCCTGGGTGTCGATTTGTCGAAGGGGTTGTGCGATAACTTGCAGATCTGACAGCTTGATGCGGATTTCTAAGTTCCAGTCTCTCCATCGAAAAAGCGGATCCTGGATGTATGATCGACTGATGGTGGCAAACTGTCGAGGTGAGAAGAGAGACTTTCTTGAAAAATGTGTTCCAAGGCAGGGGCCAGGTGTCGAGGACCAAAAACTTTGCCTCGAAATCTGCAGCCTCATCGAGCTCGCGGGCCTTACATCGGCCCCGGTCTGAGAAGGGAAGTAGCGCCTGGGACCGGGGCTTCCACACAGTCGGTGCAAGCCTGTTGCAGGCTCGTCCCGCGAAGCCGAAGCAAGAAGGACTTCGCGTCCTGTGGTGGCTGACATCCTCTGTGCGCCCCCTGCAGTCCTCCTATGATGACGTCCCCTGCCACAAAAAGCTCCTCCATCTTCTTGGTCGGATCTCCTATCGTCTGCACAAAAGCTACGCCTGAAGATTTGCAGCGACATCTGGAGGCCTTCGGTTGGGTGAGATTCCATAGCTTTGGCATAGCAGGTGGCAGGCAAAACTGCCCCACTTGCACTGCATATAGAAAGCATGGCTCTTCTTTGTGGTTTGCTTTGCTACAGTAGTCTCACTGGGCATTGGTACTTAGGACCCGCATCACTGCGATTGTGTAGCGAACCTCTCTGAGTGAAGAGGACTGGCACGGTTATTATTGTAGTTGAGCACACTTGCTGCAGACAGCCCAGCAAGATCTTCACGTCATACCTTGTAAACAAGGACCGGCCCAGAGCGACTTCGGCAGGAACTCTTTTGCGCCGGGTGTGCTCTTCCACAGCACGGGAAGATGCAATCATGCAGCTCACTGCAGCTGCATGCCGGTGCCGACACCGGTGCAACAACCCAGTAGTGGACCAAGACAGACGCAATCGTCCTAGCACGTCCTATCGGTACCTACGATGCCTCACTCAGCTCGAACAGTGTAAACGACCTGGCTGCAGCCCATGCAAGCTTCTCATCTCGCCTCCCTTGTCCACTGCGAGCTTAAGACAAGGACAGGTCAGACGCACGTCTGCAAACCCTGATACTCAACGACGCGCGCAATCTTCCGCAGCGAGAAGGGGGGGAGCTCATAGTCATATTTGATGTAAGTCCTTGCCAGCCAGTGTGCTGTGCAAATTCGACCTACTCTGAGCCAGTTGCGACGACTCATCCAGGATAGCCAAGGATCGTGTGGCATGTCTTTTCGGCACCAACGAAGTTGTCCACATCTTCATGCACCTGGCTGCTCAAAAACAGATGCTTCAGCCATCCATGAAAAGTGAGGCGCACCCTGCAACTTGCGGGCTTCTGGGACGGCGGCATTTGTCAGCAAATACCGGGCACCGGTCGCTGCAAACTGCTGTATCGCTTTCTGCGCGTCCACAAGATGCATGTGGTTTACCCTCGCAGTGTGGCAGCCGCCAGATTAACGAGACCACTGCCCAGCGCTGCTGCTGAGCTTCCGGCGTCTCCTTCGAGAAGATCAGCTCAGCTCCCTTTGGAAGAGGAATCTCGGACAAGTCCTGACAAACGCAGAATCTTCATGATGCTCCACAAAGCGGATAGATGTCGACGCATTCCTCCTTAACTGTTTGCTCTGTTCATGAACATTCATGAACACAAGATATCCCATGCTCAGGCAAAAGACCGTTCTCTAGATGGTGTGGGCCTTATCACGGAAAACCCTGAGAAAGGAGACTGCGAGTCTTCGCAGGATCGCGAGGGCCCATGAGCCCACGGCCCTCGTCACTTTGCAGAACATCCCGGCTTGTAGTTCGCGCATGTCTTTCAGAAGCTCCTGGGAAAGAAAATTTAGGTCGGGATGGCGCTGCTTGTTCCGCGCAATCACGTCCGACACGACATCCTGCCATCGGCTGCTTCAGAGTGCAGCAACAAGGGCATCGTGCCAGCTCGACATGCAAGGCGTGCCACACCGGTGTACTGGAGTTCGGGATGTTTAGCAACGAAGAATGGGACCATCCTGGAAAGAAGCTTGTGAGCGCAGTATGACAGGACTGCCCTGCTGGAAGCTCAGTACGTGGCCAGGTGGCATCGCCACAAGCACAGTCCAACATGGAACGGATTTGGAACTTGTCGATTACAGCCTGTGTTCCCACGTTCCCTGTGGTCATTGCTGCCGAGAAGGGAAGGAGTGAGGGCCTCTAATGCCGTGACGGCCAAGCGAGCTTCTGGGCTCCAGAGGTCGGAGCCTGCTTCTCAAGCAAGCTGCTAGCTGCTAGCTGCTAGCTGCTTCGTCTTAGTCCACAACCCAACAGCTCAGGCGGGCCTGTGCCAGACCGCGACACGTCACTGCCCCAAACCTCAAAAGCGGTAGCTTGACAAAATGCTGTGCACTGAACGGCTGTGTACTTTACCGGCTCCCCTGGAGGACAGGTTCCAGGCATTGTACTCGTACACGATGGAGTATGCCTTGTCCTGCAGCAAGAAGCCTGTACTGCAGGAGTCTAACCAAACCTCTTGACCAGCCGAGGTGGATGGAACACCGACATGGCTTGCACCATGCTGGGCTGGTGTCGGCATGCAGCATTTCTGACCGTGAAAGTTCAACACAAGCATTTTACAAGAAAGCACTTCACAGGCTTAGCGTCGCCTCTGCGGCCGCTGCGGTTCACCAGTTGGCTTGGGCGGCTTCCAGGTTCCCAAAGGCCGTAAAGCTTAAACCGTGAATCAAAGCTGCCGTATCGCTTGGCAGCCTTTCTTCCGTCTCACAGTCGGTCTGATGACAGACACGGCTTTGCAGCGCGGGGCTGGGCATGGGGTTGAGCACGGGTCCATCGACGAGCAAGCGCCTCCCCCATTCTTGATCTTGGATCTCGGAAATAATAAGTTCCACCAGAGCAGGGCTACCCGACCAGACCTGCCCGAGCTCCGCCCAAACTGCTGTACGAAGAGCAAAGTACGGGAACATGAAAATTACATGCATGTTCGCTACCTGCGCCCTCTCACTTCTGACATCTACTCACCAAGCATGAAGCATCGAATAAGAAGGAACTACAGATAGTGAATGGAAACAGCAAGCTCCTCCCACAACCTTCCAGCTTTTGCATCAAATCGGAAGCATTGTCGAAGTAAGCAACAGCCCCGTCTCAAGCCGAACAGCTGGGTCAGCATGTGGCAAAAGACCACATAAGCAGTCCTTGAGCGCCGCTCGAGTCATCCTTTCCTGCTCATCCTCGAAACCAAGATCCTGGCAGCAGGGTTTGTGCTGTCACCCGCAAGTTGCTCGCACGAAGACACACGCACACACTTGATGGACTCTCGATTGACCGAAGCCAAACATGAGTTAGCACGTATTCCTACAATCGTGGCCTAACAGCTTCCAATCAATCAGCATCTTTTCGCTCCTGACACTGCCCGTTTCCGAGTTCATAGAAGGTGCGTTTTCACGAGAGGACAGGTAGATGAGTGCGCGGTCTTCGTTGGCCAACGCACGCGCTCATCTTACCTGCCTCTCCGCTGGCCCCCTGCTTTCTTTGAAATGGCGAATGAGTAATCCCTTGGTCACAGGGTGGTACACACACAAATGCCCCTGTGAAGGGGTAACACCAACCGCAGCAGATTAATGCGTTCCAACGCAAGCGACGAGCACTCTACACGTTGCAACATAGGCAAACGGCATTCTACTACACGTTCCAACATAGGCGAACCGCACTCTACACGATCCAACATAGGCAAGCCGCACGCTACACGTTCCAACATAGGCGAACCGAAATCTACACGTTCCAACATAAGGAAACAACACTTTACGCGTTCCAACATAGGCGAACTGCACTCTACACGTTCCAACATAAGCAATCAGCAATCTACACTTCCAACATGGGCGAACCGCATTCTGCAAACTCCAACATATGCCGCGCATTCTGCCACATAGAGTAGTTGCATTATTCGGTTGTTGTGGTGCATGCATGAGTGAGGGAGAATTTAGGGAGACAGGACGGTGAGATGAAAGGGTGATGAGCACATTTGCAACAAAAGATCATAAACGATGGGGGATACTCGCTCCTGGTTTGCGTGGTGCATGCATGAGTGAAAGAGGTTTGAAGGAGACAGGACGACGAAATGAAAGGGTGGTGAGCACGCACGCAAAGAGTACACAACGAAAAGAGAAGTGTGCTCCCTGTGTGCATATTCGTCTTCACCTGGCTTTTGGGGTGTATGGTTTAGGGGGGGCAAATACCTTTTAGATGACGACATGGTCAACGTGGGAGTTCGCAGGCAAAGCCGCAGCCCTCCCAACATTGCCTCTTTCTCACTTCGAAATTCATGGCTGGAGCTCACAAGTTGTAGAGTAGTAGATGTCGCATTTAGGAGATGTTGCATTTAGGAGACACGAATTGATCGCATTTAGTGGCTTGTCGCATTTTGGACCACACGTGGACACTATCCCGACATCTTGCAGTGGGTTTGCAGGAGAGAGTGTAGGAGAATTGTTGCACCCAAAGGTGAGCATTCATACGTCCGGCCACCGAGCTTTCTAGATAAAGCTGGAGCCTCACGACATATGACACACTTGATGGACTCTCGATTGACCGAAACCAAACATGAGTTAGCACATATTCCTACAATCGTGGCCTAACAGCTTCCAATCAATCAGCATCTTTTCGCTCCTGACACTGCCCGTTTCCGAGTTCATAGAAGGTGCGTTTTCACGAGAAGACAAGTAGATGAGTGCGCGGTCTTCGTTGGCCAGCGCACGCACTCATCTTACCTGCCTCTCCGCTGGCCCCCTGCTTTCATTGAAATGGCAAATGAATAGTCCCTTTGGTCACAGGGTGGTACACACACACACACACGCACACACAGACACACACACACACACACAGACACACACACACACACTCGACAAGGCCTTCCTTACATGTTACGTGCAGTGGCACCCAGCCCTTGTGCCCGGCCGTAAGTGAAGAGGGAAGGCGAAGGTGCCTGCTTGTACCTTTGCACCCCGTATCCACTGCGCGGTGCACGTGGGCGCTGTTGTCTGCATTGCAATCTAGTGCTGCTGGAATCGTCAGGAGCCAATCGCCGAACACCAAAACGAGATACGTGCAATTATGTCCGCCACCAATGAAGTGTAGACGACCTGCTAAGCCTGCGGGGTACAACTTTGCTTCCCCACCGGCATTCGTCAAAAGGCCGGGCGTAAACCTGCCTTCTTGATGACTTGGCCCAATCTTCAACTGTACAACCGCCGCTAACTTTGTCTTTCCACTCCGGGCAAAAACCATCCTGTTGCTCCCGGAGGCGGCTGGATTCCTCCACCGGAGGCCAACTTGACCCGGTGTTCCCCCGTTCGGAGGCTGCGCATTCCCTTTGGCAGGTTAACTTGACCGAAGGGTCCTGCGCGGAAGTTAGGTTGACCAGGCTTCTTTGCTTTTCGGAAGTCGACTTCTAAATGCAAGACGTCCGTCTCTATATCTGCACCTTCAGGCTGCATAAGTAGGTGTGCGCACGCTTGTCCGTGCACGTGTATGTG